TATATATATATATATATATACAGCAAAGTAAATGAATGTTATTAGGTGCATTATTTGTCGTAAAACAAAAAAAAAAATTATGATTTTAGTAGTTTTGCCTTTTAATTATATATTCATTTCATTAAATTTATTTCCAATATTTTACAAAATTTTATTTATAGGAAAAATTTGTTATAAAATTTAATATTTGTGGCTAAATGAGCTTATTGAGAGTTAAAATGCATTCAATTCAGTGAAACATTTTCATCTTTCACATCTGGCACAAAAAAAAAAAAAAAAAGTGGAAAAAAATGAGTGCCAAAAGGAATAATGATGTTGGAAAGATCCAAAAATATATTTAACTATTTGCGATTCGAAAAATTTATAATTCATTAATTTTCCTTTTGTTTTGATTTCAAATTAAAAAAATTTCTCGTTTCTTTTGATTTCGAATTTAAAAATTTAAAGGTTTAAAAATTTTTCGTTTGTTTTGAATTTTAAATCTTAAAATTAAATTCATATGTCAAAAAAAAAGAAAAGAAAAAAAGGAAAACGACAATCAGGAAGTTTTTATTGGAGAATATAAAATTGTCATTCATTCAAAGAGTGCAAACACTAACCAAATATTCAAATTTGCACTTTTTGAGGATTTTCAAAAAAATCTCAAGGGATGTAAAATTTTTGCGCATATTAATTAGGAAAATGTAATGTTCAACTTTGTCGTTTGCTGTTATATTTCAAAAAATTTAAAAAATGACATGCAAAAAGAAAAAATAAAATGTGAAAAAAGAAAAAAAAGAAGACATTGTTATAGAATAAAGCGAAATTATTTGAATGAATATTTTTCCAAAAAAAAAAAAAAAAAATAAAAAATAAAAAATGGAAAAGAAAAAAAAAAAAGAAAAGAGAAGTACTTCAACAAATGCCGCTATTTTGTTTTTTCACCTAATCTAAATATTTAATTGCCATTGAGGGTTAGCTAAATATTACATGATGAAGGTTAAATATTTGCTTTTATATCATCATTATCATTTCTTTGTTATCAGAATTTCATTTGTTCTGATAAGCATAAACCACTTTCTTTTTTTTTTTGATAATCACTATATAGCTATATTTTAATCATACTTTACCTTCTTATCTTTTTTTTTTACTTTTTTTCTTGAAATATGATACACTTCTCTTGCGTCATTTTCTACTTTTCCTTTTTTTTTTTTGTCAGATAAGAAGAATACTGTTGGATTTCGAAGTGATAAAATTTACCATTTATAGCTATTTTGAAACATAAAAAATTAACGATTTAAAAAAAATTGAATTTATTTAAAATTTTTTTGGGTATAAAATTCTTTGGCAAGAAATATAATAAAGAAAACTGAGCCTAAATAGTAAACATTTGGCTTTGGCTTCATCTTTGGGCCACAATTTGAGACAATAATATTCCAAAAATTTGATGCGAAATTTTTAAATAGAGATGTTATTTTAAGACAAACAAAAGAAAAAAAAAGAAGCACTAACAATTAATAAGGAAATAAGGAAGTAAAAGTCTATTAAAAATAGTAAATAGGAGAATGTAATTTTTGACATCAAAGAAAGCGAGAGAGAGAAAGAAAGAAAGAAAGAAAGA